TTGTATTTCAAAAGATTATTATTACCTTAATATAGTATATGGAGATTGAGTCATCAACTGCGGATGAAATGTACAGCCAATACATAAACTGGAATGGTAACATCAATAAGTTCTCAATAACCAGATTTCATGGTCTGTCATTAATATTTATCAAGCAATATCCATGTGGGGGGAGTTTCTCCTCTTTCCACTTCATCAACAACGCTGCCTTGCAAGGCCACAATTTTCACCAATCAATGCAAAAGGTCCACATAGCATTATACATTTTTGACGATGCTCTTCATGAGAAATAAAAATCAAACTGGCAATAAATATTTTTATGTGGGGAAATAAAAATATCAAACTGGATTTAACCATTCAACTTCATATCTGGACTGAATTTTCTCTGTTGTCATTTCATTATATTTGCACATTAAAAAAAAATGAACTTCGATGATTTAAAAAGTGCAGTGCATTTTTATACATTAAACCAAGATATCATAGATGGAGTACATAAAATATAGTACATTATACCTTTCCAACACTGCATGTTCTGAATTGTACACACATTTAAAATGATTAAGAAAGGGTAGTTTTCTATAGGCATGTGTTGAGTTAATTGATAGATTCGAATGAGATCATTATACCTTTCTGTTTGTGGAAGGGTAGTTTGGCCAGCAAAAAAATATAATAAATAAAAAAATTAGTCTTAAGTTGCAAACTTCCTAGTGAGAAATTTATACCAGGGTAAATAACTTGGCTTATGTTGAACATTTAACTTCACTAGTGCAGTAGATTGAATAGCACTTTATCGTGACTTCAACTCCATTAGCATACCAAGATTATTTATGAAATTTTTCATATAGATTCCAATTAAATATTCAAATGAATTTAGATAAAAGTTATGTGAATAGGAACTCCTTTTACCCTCCATTGAACTAGCTTTAATATATATTTTTACTCTAGATCAAGAGATAGGATATATATAATAGGTATAGTTGTGAAGATGGCCAAGTATGAAATAATTGCCGTCAAAGTGTTGAGTATAGTCACCTCTAAGAGTTCTCTAATTGGCACAACTGGGTACCTAATTATACCTATCTACCCATAAAGATATTCAAATGGAGGTCTGTGTGAATTAATTGAGAATTACTTTATAGTCGTGTAGTTCACCAGGTTCAGATTAAACATTAAATCTCATTAATGTAAAGAAATTTTCTTTTGGGAAATGCAGTAAAACTTAATGAAATTACTGATTTCTTGTTGTATCCATGACTGTGTTGTGGATTTAAATTTAACCTTTCTGATCAGTCTTGGCTTAAGGTCAGTCAGAAGTCTCGGGGTAACTGGCTGTGGGAAAACTTTGCTTTCTCAGTAAATTAGATTGGCATTTTAAACAGGTAGCTGAAATAGTAAGATTAAAGCTAACACTCATGAATGAAATTAAATTTCTTTCAGATTAATCCTTAAATCTTTTTGTAAATATAATACGAGGTTAAGGAGACTTGCAAGGATCGAAGGATTGCAAACATGTTTATATATATCTGTGTTCACTGGATACCTTTTTTGGTTAATGTAAATTTAAAATTAATGATCTAATACCACGATTATGCAAATTTGTTATTTTTGAGGATTTGAGAACATTTATAATCGTCTAATATCAAATCAGTTTTGTTAATGGCTTTAGGCTAGACAAGGCTATTCATAGATTGATCACTTAAGCATAGAAATACTAAGTAAATATCTGCAGTGTTTTTTCATTTAACCTAATAGAATATTTTTTTTTTTTTTGTAAGATAATGGAAAAGATGCCAGTGGGATATCGTAATTTGTATATGGAGTTGAATCAGTAGACAGCAGCAGATGGTAGTTTTAAGCTATTAGAAGAATTGCAACAGACTTGTCTGACTTTTCCCAGAGTCATTTAGCAACATTACACAGATGACGCACTTTAAAGAAGTGCGTCACTTTACCAAGAATCACGCTGAATCCTTATGGGATGTGGTAGAAAAGCATGACCTATTAGGACCAGATGAATTTGATTTCTTCCCATTGTTCTTGGGAGAAATGTCACTTAATATGTAGGTACCTGTCTGATGCTGTGGACGGCATGTTACGATGTAATTAATTCAGGAGCCTTGCCCTCCCTGAAGATTATATATGACTACCCTGAATACTTACCATATAAGGGCTGATTGCCTATCACACTAACTGTTTGTGTTATATGCGGGGCTCTGTGGCTATTTCCAACTTATACGCAGTTTGAAAAGGAATCCTCGACCTAGGGGATCTGAGACGAGGGATCTTGGGGATAAGTTTGTATGAATGATGATGACGGAGGTGATTGGCGACGGATGGGGAGACTGGAATATGTGTATACTTTGTTTAAATGCTGTGATGTGGTGTCTATTGATCTGTCCAGTCCCAGAGACATGTCGGTACATACTCCGTCCGCATCCTTCCACGACACGGTATACTCTACCCATATATACGGGCTGACCCTGTTATTTTTGCTTAAGAGCGGTAGTTTTTACGAGATGATGAATATCTTCAGACATGCTTTAACAGTTGGAATATTACTCCAAGATAACTATTAATAAATAAGCCATGAATGCCCTAGACATGGTAACATGGTGGAAATTCTGACTCTGGCTAGGGCTGATGTTCTAGCATCAGACTGCTGGATCTCTAGTAAAGCTGAACAAGACTTGGCAGGCAGTTGACATTTTCTTATTCAGAGTAGGGGATTCATTTCATTATAAAAAGAAATTAAATTAAAACGTTTTTGTGTGCAAATATTATGTAGATTTGTTTGTACTTTTTTGTTTTCTTTCTTTTATCATTATCATTATTAAAAAATAATAATGTTGGTGTGGGGGTGGGAAATGTATTTTAAATCAGTCTGTAATCACTGGACTTAAGAATCTGAGTACTGGAAACCACAGTATGTGATGCATTTAAATTAAAATCTAGGGTATTTATATACCATGTTGAATACATATTTCCCCTGTTGTTGGATGGTATTTGTAGATGTGATACATGTAATACCAATTATCAATACATTGGTTACATGTCACCACGTGTCCATCTTTAGAAATCGACTCGTTCACATTAGCATACATGATAACATCCCATAGTAAAAGTGGTGTGCAATATGTTGCTGTATGAAATATGAGAGTAACAACTTGTAGGGGATTACCAGCTCAGGATGGGTATTGATTGTCCTGATTTATATGTATGATGTATATGACTTAAACAATTAAACAGATACTTTTGGTTATAGATACTGAATAATGGATTATCGTATCAGCTGTTTGCTGTGATGCCCTATAGAAATTCTTTAATAAGGTAGTAACAGATTGGTATTGAATGGATTAAAGTTGGTTTACTCCTACAGGATGTTTCTCCTGTTAATGTATGAATCATGGCATTGACACTTTTTCTAGGTATAATTATTTATGACATGGCTATGTCACATGTGGTCTGTCAATTGTGGTTTCAACTGCTAGATAGATATCAGTTTTTTTATAAGAAAATTTATAATTTATTCTTTTAAAAGAATGAAAAACAATTGATTATATAATGTTTTAAGTAGTAGAATACCACACAAGGATGAAAAAATAGTATTAATCTTGAAGAAATGAAATAACAGAAAATGTTTTAAACCATTAATGAAATTGTAAGGCACTTGTTTCCTAGATTTGAAAGCTTAAATTCTACCAAACTGAAACATAGCAGGAGGAAGGCGTTAGATTCAGTTTTTAAAATGGCTTTATTAAATTGACAAGATCTGGCTTCAATAGCACTTCATTGTCTTTGAAGATGTTTTCTGTAGACAGAGGGATGCCTTTAAGTGTGTATTCTATCAAACTTGTCTCTTGTTAGTTGCATGCAAAACAAATGATGTGATAGCTGAGATCTGCACATTTTCTCTAAGATAAAAATTAACAAGCCAATATCGATACCTCTTATGTCATTAATCAAATTTGAGCATTGCAATTTGCTGGTTATTGTTGAAAATTACGCAAAATTCTGAAATTAGAAAAGATGCAGAAATAGGATATCAATATTGCAGTGGATAGCAAAACTGGAAAAGCTCATTAGCAAGGATAAATCCACATAAAAGTATTAGTGACCAAACAACAGTTGAGGTCTATATATGGCTGAGTGGTTTACCAGTGAACATGGGATCCTGGAATGATTGATAAAAGTTGAAATTGATGTTCAGTGCAGTAACTGCACTGTCATGAAGATGGAAAGAGACATGGAAATTCAATTTGATAATGTAAGTGCTGATTGGCATTGAAATAGTTGAAGTGGGCAAAGCACAACCCTAGTGTGTCTGTGCCATGTCTTTTCTGTGTCAATCGTCTGATGACCTCAGCGTCTGTCCAAGGTGTATCTGGGGGAATCATGGTGTACATAACACCTGATTGGTTCAGAGACATACCAATTTATTGGCATGGGATACTGTTGTCAACTCAATTAATTGACATTTTGGTTTTAGGGTTGAATTACTTGTCATTTCAGTTGGGTCGGAAATCTGTCTTTTGCTTAAAGGGGAGTCATCATTGTAGTTTTATCTGGATGACTCTATCAGTTAACTGTCAGTCTAATCAGTGAAGAAAATTATCATTGCTTCTTAGATATCCCACCTTCATTCTACCAACTCCCAAAATTCTTTAATGAATCTGTTTAATTATAGTTAGCATGATCCTTTACCTCTCAAACTCTATAAACCTTCAAGGATGATACAGACACCTCAAACTTTACAAACATTCAAGAATGATACAGACACCCCTCAAATTAAAGTAAGAAATGCAAATATGATCCTGTCACCTTTCAACACTATAAATATCCGAATTCAAAAAACATTGAACAGAAAATGTGGTTAAGAGGCTGACAAGGTTGGAGTAATATGGCATCTTGAAGTAGGTATGGTATCATATTCTGTAATACCTATTTTACTTAATGAACAAATGCTTTACTTACTATAAGTTGAAAAAATTTTGTATTTACAGGTCAAACTGGAACAGCCACCACAGGAAATTTCACGAGTGATTCATGTGAGAGGCATTCCAGAAAATGCTACGGAGGCTGAAATCGTCCAACTTGGTATTCCCTTCGGCAAAGTTACAAATGTGCTTCGAGTCAAAAAGAGCCAGGTATGCCAATTTCCATGCAATGTCAAATAATTCTGTCAGATCCTCACTGATATTGGGGTCTTGGCCTGCACATTTCAGTGAAAAATTGTCAATTACTGTCCATAGATTTAGTCTGCATTGAGTGTAGGAGTAGGAATTGAAATCAATAGCCATCATCAAGTGATTCTGTTTCTCAGATTACCGTCTGTAACATGATGAGGTTATAAAATGGAAATTGCTCAAGATAAACAGACTATGGTTATTGATAGCCCTTTAATTGTTAGAAAAGTGATATGAATATTTTCATACCAATTTATTTATTGGCATATTTACGGCTTTCATTGCCTGAACTGTGTGAATCTTGTTGGTCACAAGGGACTCTTAGATGGGGAAGGTTTTACAGTATCGTTACTACATTAACGGCACTGATGTACCCATAGATGCCATAACCATCACATTGGCAGAGAAGTACTGTTTTATGCCTTACACAAATCTGTGATAAACTACTACGATTAGTATTTATAAAGATAATGTTGGTTCTATTAGGCTATTAAATCTTACAAATTGCTGGTTGTACTAGAAATATACTTGCATATAAAAGCATAAAAACTGTTTGACTTGCAGGCTTTTCTAGAGATGGAAACTGAAGATAGTGCGTGTGGAATGATAAAGTACCATTCCACCTCTAACACTGCATTGATCAGAGGCAAACATGTCTTCATTCAGTTCTCCAAACACAAACAGTTGGTGGTCGACCAGATCAACTCACCACAGGTAAATATTTGGGAAACCATGATTATCAGTTAAGATGAACTAAAAGTCATTTATCTCAAATCTTGCTCAGTCAAAAGATTTACAAGTTGGATTTGGAACGGGGAAAAAAATTGTAGATTTATCTTTGATTTCATGACTAATACACACAATGGAAAATTTCTAGAGATATTGTAACTTGATAAACGTATTATGGAAATTTTGTGAAACTATAATTCAATAATTGTGAAATAGTAGCAGTGTAAAGCCTCTGATATCCCTATCCAAAAGCTAATGTTCTGGTAGCACAACATAATGATTATTTTGACTGATGCTTGAAATTATACTGGATTTATTCCAAATTTTCATACTCAATAGAAACTCTGCATATCTGTCTGGGTTTTACATTGAGGTGGTTTTTAATGTTTTCAGAATGCAAGTGCTAAAGCAGCAATTTTGGCAGCAAGTGAAATGTCCAATGATATCCCACAGTCCGACAACACACGATCCATCCTTCGAGTCATCGTAGAAAAGTTACTGTATCCTGTAGATGTCACAACACTACATCAGGTAGGTACCAAGGGTGGGTGGTCACTCTGAAGTGAGGGAAATGAAAGTTCATGTTTGGTCACTCTTAATAGGGAGGGTGGAATAAATCCAAAGAAGGTGGAACAAAATCATGGGTAGTCACTTGAAAACAGTGAAGGTGGAACAAAATCATGGGTAGTCACTCGAAAACAGTGAAGGTGGAACAAAATCGTGGGTAGTCACTCGAAAACAGTGAAGGTGGAACAAAGTCGTGGGTAGTCACTCGAAAACTGTGAAGGTGGAACAAAATCGTGGGTAGTCACTCAAAAACTGTGAAGGTGGAACAAAATCGTGGGTAGTCACTCGAAAACTGTGAAGGTGGAACAAAATCGTGGGTAGTCACTCGAAAACAGTGAAGGTGGAACAAAATCGTGGGTAGTCACTCGAAAACAGTGACGGTGGAACAAAATCGTGGGTAGCCACTCGAAAATTGTGAAGGTGGAACAGAATCGTGGGTAGTCACTTTAAACATTGAGAGTGGAATAAATTGCCATGTTGTTACCTGGAAGGGTGACATGAATCTCTGGGTGGTTACTCTAAACACCGACAATTTATTATATATCTGTTCTTATGATAAAAGGATTGTGAAGTGATGCACACTGGGGATGACCAGACACGTTATTGTATTCTGTTCCATTAATTCTGGTAATAAAGTAAGTTGGGAGAGCCAATCCATAACAGTGTGAACACACAATTGTGCTCTTTACCGATTCAGCCCAGCTTGTCATGTTGTATCTAAGTATCCAATATTAATTAACTGTGTATTGATTTCACATACGATACAACAAGATTTGCAGTTTTCTTGTATAGCTGATGTTTATTATAGACATTAAAGAGCATTAATGGCCAAGAATACGGTAATATGAAATATTGCCCTTGGTTACGAATCACAAAGACTACTAAAAAAAGATTTACTCTTGGTAGTTTTGCAAACCATAGGTGGTGGGGAAAAAACCAATACAAGTGTATTGCCAATCTATTTTAACTGATTTCATGATATCTTGATTTCAGATATTCAGCAGATTTGGATTTGTGACAAAGATCATCACCTTCACAAAGAATAGTAAGTACCCTTTTGCTGAACTGGGATTTTGGCTTGTTAAATATCAATGGGCTTAGTAGAAATAATCTTTTTGTGTATACATGGTTAAGGTAATCTTATTGTACTGACTGACCAGTCAGGGAGCGGTGGTAAGGAGATTTTTAAAAAGGCAAGGGGAGATAAATGAAGAACTCGAGTATGAAAAAAGAAAAAAAAAAAAACCAGAGGTTTACAATATCTTATAAATGTTTAAGAATGTATTTCACAGTACAGATACAAGTAGGAATTGAAGTTTTATTTTTAAAAAATTCTCATGACTTTTTGATTGGACAAATTACTTGTTTGCTCTGGATATGAATCACAAATTTAAATTGACCACTGTCTGTTTTTCCAGATACATTCCAGGCCTTAATCCAGTTTCAAGATTCAATTTCTGCTAAAACAGCAAAATATGTAAGTTTGTGTTAGGTACATACGTGTAACCTCACTCATTAAATCTGGTACCTATATGATCCAAAGTAGACCAAACCACCACCCCCCCCCCCCCCCCCCCTTCTCCTCACAATGACCCTAGTTGTTGTGAGAAATCTAACAAAAGCTAACCAAACTTTGAGGGATTACAATGTAATGCTGTAATTGGACACAGGTTTTAACTTTCTTGTTAATCTGTTATATACTGTACTTCAGTTTGCTTGTTTATCATTGTGGATCTAAAAGAGCTAACTGGATTGAGTTACAATAAATAATCTATCTGCCCAAGCTCCAACCCCTTCAATATGTACTCTAGTTCCCCTGAAACTTATTACAATTCTTGCATGTGATTCCTTTTAATATAGATAGAAAACCTGTTTTGGTACTTGTTACTACAGACCCACCATCAGAATTGCCTTCCAGGTCCATAAATCCTGTATGAACTTAGTGGTCATTCGGTACAGTGAAAGTTTTCAATGGTGACCTGCAGCAGCTTCATACACTTATGGTGTTAGATGTCAAATGTCAAAATCCTATAATTAGAATCCTTTGGGCTGGTTGAGTAATCATATATTCTCTGCAGTTGTTTGATTTTATGAAATTAAGAGGAAGAAAAAATAAAAAATTCAGAATTTAAATGTCATACCTTACAGTCACTAGATGGCCAGAACATTTACAATGGGTGCTGCACACTAAAGATTGACTTCTCCAATCTCTCCAACCTGAATGTAAAATACAACAATGACAAGTCCTATGATTACACAAAAGTAAACCAGCTATGTGCAGGAGATGCCACAGTCCAGAGACACACCCCAGGGATGCTAGGAGGTGTTGGAGGAATGGGCGGAGTTGGAGGCATGGGAGGAGTTGGTGGAATGCAAGGTATGGGAATTCAAGATAAATATCCAGGTCACACAGAGTAGCTGGACAGCCTCAGACTAATCAAATCATTTTAACTTTAGATGTTCATGCATGAACATTTATGCATCAACTTTCTAAATATTTGCTTTTTCTTTCCTTTTTTCCATGGTTAGGTTCTTTCAAAAATGGCCTTCATTATCATTATTATTTTTTTTTTATTATTTATTTATTTATTTTACATGAATTTAAAAAAATTGGGCGGGGAGAGAAGGAAAGTTCTACAAATTATATTCTTTAGAAAAATAACTGGTCAAAACCTGTTGAGAATATTATTTAGATTCTGATATCATCAATTTGAAAATGTGCTCATCTTTGTGACCAATAAAGTGAAATTCAAAGTAGCGCAACTTTAAGTCACGAAATCTTCAAAAAATACCATCCAAATGCCCTCAAGCTTTACATATATAAAACAAAATTCACAGGTCTTAGATATACATTCTTGGAAATTCGTATGAAGAGTGAAAGCCTTTGAGAAAGACTCTAGACAGAACGGCAAGTCTGTATGTATTTGTGTCCTGTAATGAAATTAACTGATGCAGTTCGGCCAGTTTCAGCTTTTATCTTCAATATACCTCTCTCTGTTCTCTTATTGATTACTGTACACATTTACTGATACTTGCCATGTCTTGTTTTTGTATTTTCCTTAAGAGTCCCTACAAATGGTGAGGGGTTTGGGAGGAATAGGAGGGATGGGAGGTAAATATGTCCAAAATTTTGAAACAAATCTGTCTTGAATTTTTCTTTTAAAGCATGAAAATGTATTTAAATTCTGAAAACTTATCTTCATAATATTTCTTATTAGTAAATTTACTATATACTATTTCTTATAACGAAATTTCTTTTTATTGTCATTGCAGTATTGAACTTTCTTTCTCTCTCTATACTTCTCATATTTTCGTAGTTGTTGATTTTTTCACTTTGTATATCTTTTGTTTTTCATTACAATCTGTCATAATCATTATTTTCAGTTTCAATTATTATGACTCATTATTTTCAGTTTCAATTATCATGATGTTGTGTCTCTTCATTGTCATGTTTTGAAGAAAAATGAACACATTCACATATACATGTCTATCCTACTTTGTGTGTCATTCATGGGAACATATCTCTGAATCATGATAAGGATTTATCATTGTAACCTGGTAGTTTTGAGAACTATACCCATATCTTTTAATGTGGAATGCACAAAAGTGTGAAATCAGATGAAAATTTTTCATATTTGGTTTCTACATAGAGTAGAGGCCAATGGTTGGATGGCATAATAAAGTTTTTGTTATTTGTATGACCGGTGCTGGTGGTAGATTGCTCGATCAGATTCTGCCCTGTCGTTTGGGAATTTGGTGGTCAGGGTTTCTTCTCACCTAAATAACAGTTTGCAATACCATCATGGCTAAGAAATGTGATTGCAATTTGAAAAAATTGGATCATAATGGTTGTGAAGGAGATCTATGATTTCTAGATAACTAGAACCAAGTACATATATGCATACATGAAAACTTCATCTAACAGAGGAGATTCTATAACAATGAAACGCAATTGCAATTTATTAAAATTCAATTTCTGTTCAAACTTGTTCTCTGAATCATCGGTAGATTATGTAATGTACTTGAGATTAATTAATGCAAACCTCTGGTGGCAAGTACATATCACGATGAATAATTTATGTCTTGTACATAAAATAACTTAGTACAAAATGTTCATTTCTTTGGAATTTTCAAATATGATAAATTCAGAAAATATATTGTCTGCTAGTCTTTTTGATTGTAAAAATGTCTGACAATTGATCATCTTTCAGGTACTGTCCAATTCTGTATGGTTTTATATTGTCCAGCCCAACTTACAGGGAACCAGAACATATAGAATTCCAGTCTCTCATATACAACTATTTATTATTATAATTCATTGATCAATTAATTGCATGATTTTCAAATTTTATTTGAAATTATCCGATTATTTTTAATATCTTTAAATATAACTGAAGTTCTATTTTGGAATCCTGTATTGTCTATTTATGGACACTTTTGTTATGCTGTTGTATGGAGTGATATGGAAAGCTTGTTTTGGTCTCGTTTGTGTGGTCACTTCTATAGCTAGGCCTCACACAGCTTTTCAGCCTAATACCTGAGTCATTGTATATCCATGTCCCTCCCAACTGAACCCTGTCACATGTATCTTAGCATTGTATTTCCCTTAAAGTTGTGAAACTTTATTCCAACAATCTTTTGACAAATTAGTCCTCTCTTCTTATTATTTTCTATGACATACTTTTAAAGAAAAATAAATTAATAAAAATGAACACCAACATGAGAGGAAAGGGGAGGGGTGGACTCTCGTTTTAATATGCATGTTTCCAAATAAGAGCTGTATTTTTTCATTATTTTAAAGTTGAATAGTGCTTTAACCCCATTTTCAAATTTGCTTTTTTTAACCACCTGGCATTTAGTAAAGGGTTTAGAACAGAACCAATTGGTGTGTGCATACAATGCTTTACAATACTTGTGGTTTTGCTACTCACCATGAAATGCTTACAATGTATTTACCAGTATACTGAGCTGTTTACATGTTAACTCTGACCCTGTGTAACCCAGAGACAGGTGTTAGATATAAATATGTAATCATTTTGGAGTTTGTTTTCTTTAATTGCCTATTAAAATTTGTCCTGATTTACTTGGCCTTATATTTATATATATATTAAGATTTGCAATAATATTGTGATGCTACATGGAACACAGTAATGACACTTGTACCTACCTATGAAAAATATGACTAACACTGAATATTTGGTAAGACAGGGGAAACTGTGATTCTAAATAAAGAGGCAAAATTTTTTTAAAAATTAACAATAGATTTATGAAGAAATGATGAATAAATAATATTTGAAGCTTGATATAAATTTATGTATTTGATTTCAAGTTGACAATATTGTTGCTTTTTTGTCCACCTCCCTGTAGCACCACCCGCACCATATCACCGGTGTACATTCATTATATATATTAGCTGGATATTAATCGCATGAACCTTATTTACCAATGTGTCACATGAAGGTGCCCAGGATCTCATGACGCAGGCGTTGATGCCAGGGATGGGAACCGCTCCACTAACAGCCTACGGGGCCGGTGCGGCAGCGGCTATGGGAGGCACACCTGTATATGGTACAGATACCCCACAAATTGCTCTTTACTGTACTACCCTGGTGATGACACCTGTAGATATCCTCCTGTAGTTGTAGTAACTCATAAATTCTAACTCAGTTTAACTCATACCTTCATTAGCAATCCTCTGGTGACACTGGTTTCTTATGAGACAAAAGCAGTGAGTGTTAGAATTATTTCATGAGAAAACAGGATTTGGAGAGATTAAGTTGTCAGATATGTTTTGGCAAACAATAGCCACGGGAATTTACATGCATGTAACTGCCTACAATTTTTGTCTCAAGAGTGTTCACTAAAGGATTACTGTATACTACTTGCATGAATTTCATTTGCTCTTAACGCCTGCTTTGCTGGTATATACACTGTCTTTCAGACACAAGAAAATTCATCCAGTGGCTTGTTCTGGATGCATTACATGATGATGAAAATTTGCTAACTTCATTGCATGAATTTTTTCAAAAGAGAAGGAACTATTCAATAGTACTATGCAGTTGTTTATAGAACTGTTGCAATATTCTTTAAAGAACTATTAAATAAATTCTCCAAATAAAAAAAAAAACTAACATTCACGTGACTTCACATTATTCTTTCAATTTTCTTACCCACACCAAACCAATGTTCTTTTTAAAATCTTGCTTTTCTGGCAAGAAGAGGTACATAAATGAAAAAGATACCAGGTTATTAAATAATGAAAATGCTAATTTTATACATTAATGCTTTTGAAATAAAAAAAATGTAAATATATACTCATGTTGTCAAAACAGAGCCATAACAGAAATATTTGGAACCTAAGGATAGCAATATGTCTCTACATTGATGAATAATTTATAAGATTCCATTTCAAAAAAGTGTTGATGGACCAAGCCTGAAAGGCAGCCTTAACATATATCTTGCATGCTTTCTAAACCTCCTGCTTGTTCTTTAGTGGCTTAACATTTGGAATTTGTCTGATCGCTATGACAGCATTAAGAATTGTAAAGCTGCAAGCTTTACCTTCTGTGTGCGCCTTCTGTAGACTTAGCTTAGAAATGTCAGCCCTGAAGAATGTCAACCAAATATACAAACCAATTACAAAGTGCTATAGGATTTAGCCATGCAATGAATTTTAAAATCCACGATATATCTGAATTTCCATCTTATATATATATAATCTATAACTCATGAAATTTGTAATACAAATTTGATGTAAGAAAATAAATTAATAGTTTTTTGTTGTTTTTTTTTAAGAGGAAGATAAGTTATAAGAGCAATTCAATGTGGGTGGTGGTGGTAATGGAGGGAGGGGTGTCAGGAAAAGATGGATCTTTGCAAAATTGATTACTCCTAGCAACTATCTGTATTTAGTACAAATTTGTTATATCACTGTAATTGTTGTATATTGTGACATTCCATGGGTAGCCTAGATTAGTTGCATGCTTATTGACCTGCATTGATACAAAACTGGACAGCTACTGTGAACAGAGGTAAGGTACAGAAGTCTTACTGATAGCTGTATCTAGCTTATCTTTTTGTGTCTTGTGTAACTGCATCTGTATTTTTCAGTTTCTCTGATTTGTGTTTTCTCTGTCTTTTTTTAGCTTCAAACTTTGGCCCAGGTGTACAAGGTAAGTTGCCTACTCTCTTCTTCAATTTCTACAACCTTTCTCTTTCATTTCTGTAAAGTGACCTTTTCCATAATGTGCAGAAAAAATAAAACCAGTATATTTCTAATCGTTACTTATTACAAAGATTCTGAATAGTTTAAACTGCAAAACAAAAATGTTGCAAAGTGTTGGATTTTGTATGAGTTGTATTTCTGCAATACAAAAAATAGTAGAAAAAAAAAGAAAAGAAAAAAATAATAAATCTTGCACTTGAATGGTAACTGGTCCATTTTACATTAGTTGCTTATTGATGAAGATGTTGTTGGTTGAGGAGTGCTGTCTCCTTCCCTCTACTGTATATGTATTATAATGCATGTACTCTGTTTAACCCGTGACCAGGAATATGAATCATAACTGCAAAAATGATACATAGAATTATTACAGTATCCAACTATCATTTTTATGCCTTTTCATGGACGCGTCCCTCTGAGCTTTCACATGTTGATAAAGTCAGTCTGAAGTTTTAAAGATAAGGTGAAAAATTCAGATATCAAAAAAACATAAAAACCAATTACAGAAGAAAGAAAGTAAAACATCATTCATTTCTAATTCATTGTTTTTCCAACAGTTTTAGATTTATAAGTGACCTTGTCATGTAGTCATTTTTAATCTGGCTAAATAGATTATGAAAGGAAACAGAGTCAATTCCCAGAGAGGAATTTAAGGAACCTTGATAGCAGGAAATGTGTTGTGAGATTTGTAATGTCACTTCAGACTGCTTCTTTACAATCTTTAGTGTAGGTAAGGCCACAAGAGAAAACAGATTTACAATACTGTAAAACAAAAAAAAATGGCCTTCTGTTTATTGGCATGTATCGGCAGCATTCCACAGCATTACTGAAATGCCATTAAGTTTCCTTAAGAGAAGAGTAAGTGTGCTATAGATTTAAATTGACTTCTGAAAAACTTTTAACTCAAGTAAAAAATTGTGCAATATGTTGTTTTTAGAAACTACGTCGCCAGCTATAGAATTAGATTATTCAATTCCGAACTTGGTGAACTGAAAGAACCCAGATGATTCCATTAATGATCATAATCCCCTAGTGCTTTAACCAAAGTGAGACAACTGCACTGTGTTAATGGTCATATACTAAGCTATCATTTGGTTACTCAATATAATCAAATCTGTCTCTACACAATGTTATTATAGATAATTTTCTGTTTTGTAACAACTTCTTGTGCAATTATAAAATTTCTAGATAAAAGTCTTGCACGTTCAAAAATATGCCTGAAAGTTCAGAGACCTCAAAACCCCCACCCCCAATGGCCTTCCGAGATGCAGAGCATAGATAATACAGTTACATGGTGCTATTTTCCTGATTTGTTCAAATATAGATTTTATAGCTAGTTTTTCTCTTGGCTTCATTTCACTGTGTTAATCTTATATTTAGTTAAAATTTGAAAAAAAAATTTGCATGTATACAGGAAGTGTCTAACTGTGCCTTGTACATCAAAGAGGTCATTTAATTGACCTTATAGCAAAGATAAAAAGTTCAGTAGTATTATTGGAATTAATAGGAAAGCAGATTTTGGAAAGTTGTGATTTATTTTATAAAAAATCTGAATGACAATGACCATCTTGTACTCACGTTTTTCCCATGATGATAATAATCTTTGGAGGTGCCAAAACAAGATATTCAAGTCTTCACTGTGGAAACTAATTAGTATTGAGGTTCTGATAAGCCAAAATTGTTAATTATAATCTGAAAATGAATTAGTATGTATAATTGATTCAAGACCTTCTTAAATTACATTTTTATTTTTAATCAAGATGAATTTCATCACAAATTATGTCATTCTGACTTTGAAGTCAAAAGAATTTTTATATTTTGAATTTCTTTCATTTCAGCTCAAATGCCCCAGCTGGGAAACTATAGCTTTGCAAATCCAGCCCTGACTGGGATGGCGATGGGTGGAATGCCTGGTGGGAACAGTGTTCTGTTGGTGTCAAACTTGAATGAACAGGTACGCACCCACAGCCTTGTATTGGTAGCATGATTTAGCCTTCTAACAGGTTGACATTACTCCCTCTGCTGCAAGGTGATCATTTTCCTGTTTGGAGAAGTGAAAATTAATACTTTTCAGAATAAATCAAATTACTTTATTAATTTGAAAGAATTTATTTTACGGGATTTATTTGATTGTTTGTTGTAATCTGTCATCATTTGTGTGATGGAAATGCAAAACAATGCAAGAAAAATTTTAATGTTTTAAAAGATTCAAAAGTTTCCAAAAATTTTCAAATTGCTATGTATCACCTTGGACGGAGGAAGAGTGGTCTATGGCTAAGAAAACAAATATCTATTTCCAACTTTTATCAAAGATGTTTTTTATCCATCCGCACTGAAATATTACATATACCAAAGAAACATCATTTGTTCAGCTAAAATTGTACCTTTGATAGTCTGTTTCTGCACTGTCAATCTGCGGTTAAACTTTTATTTCATATACTACTGGTCCTTTAATCTGAGATCTGTTTCAGCAAGTCTACTGTGTGCTCATGTGCCTACATTATATTTTCACCACTGGTTGGGTTTCTTTTACATGTGCCATGCATTTTTATGGGTAATTTTTTTAGATATTTCTATATTTGATGATGTTTTTAGCTAAAGGATATATAGTTGCCCTAGCTCTTGCTCTGGGTTTCATATACAATCAAATTTTCTGCAAAAACAGCAAGCGACATTAACTGCATAACATAAATTTTGTTTATTTTTTTCTGTTTTTAATTGGATTTTTCTATTATTGAAGAAAGTACATATGGGTTATCTTGTGAATAAATGAGGGTCAAAGTTCCCATTGAAGAAGGTTTAACATTTCTGTCACCTAAATCACATGAAAATTTAAAGAATCACATAAAGGCACAGTCACATGTTTTATCAATAATGATCACTTGTACATGCTATCAATGATTCTGTTAGTACTTGAACATCTGAACTGACATGCACTATGTCACGGGTATGACAAATGAGACATTTCACAGATTCTCAAGAGCATGTTAAGAGCTGAGCCAGAGTGAACCACTGTTTTCGAAATTGGCAAGATCTGTAGAGATATCAAATTAAGGATAGATGATGTGAGCAAAATTTTTATTTGGATGTTTGGTACAACTTGGTATCTCTAGAGCATTGAATCATTGATGGCTTGTCAATTGTATGATTTTATAAGCTTTTTGCTGCAACTTGATAGAGCTGCAGTTTGCTTTTCAAACCACAATAAACTGTGTAATCTGCACCAGTTGGAAGGCTCAAACTAACATTGAATTGGAATCCAGATAAGAAATGGAAATGCAAATAAGCAACTTTCATTTTTAATACAAATTCTTAAAAGAATGAAAAGTCATGAATATTTTTTAGAACTAATTTTACTTTAATCAAAACTACTTTTATTATAAAAGGGATGTAACTCCATACAATGATGGGTGCACCTTCAAACTGGCAAAATGTTGATGGGAACTTTGTAGATGGTTGTGAGGTCTTATAGTTAAAATGCATGACTTTTTTTTCGCATGTCAAGGGAGATAACTACATATATACCAATGTTTATGATTACATAGAAAAACTAATTGACTCGGCAGACTGTGCATTGTATACTACTTAGCACTGTTCATTGCTGTCTAAACTGTAGACTTATACTGGTGCTGTATCATTCTATGTTTAGAAATTTCATCAATATTTATTAATCACTGTTGCTTACATAATTATAATATTTATTCAAGCGTAAGAGGGTCCTGATTTTCTCATGTCCGTGGATGCCAAACCTGTGCGCTTCAGTCATTGTAATAACTGACTGACAACAATACACCTATAACTGATTGTTTTCCCTTGTTTTTTCTTTTCCCGTTCGTTCGTTCCCACTTACGCTGGTGTTCATCCTCCATGTGGACTATTTTCTTCGCTCGTTCGGACACTGATCTCATCCATCCATCCTTTTTCCGCCTTTGTCTGCTATTTCCTGTTGCTCTGACAAACTCTAGATGGCCACGCCAGATGCTCTCTTTACCCTTTTTGGTATGTTTGAAAAGCACTCTTTATTATTATTATTTCATTTATTTCTGGTAGTAATTTATAATAGAAACTATCTAGTGGAAAAATCTAGGCATTTTCAGTAAAGACAAATTTCTGTTGCACATTTCTAAACAAAACAAATTTCACATTTGTTTCCCTCTTTCGTCAATAATTTAATAACTTTTCATTTTTTGCTCCTTCTAATTCAGATATGGACTTTGAAATAACAATGATGAAAAAGCTCTGCAAAAATTAAATTCAAAAAAAAAATTTTTTTTTTAATTCTTTTATAAATATTAGAATGTGAAGGAATTTAATAATTCAAGACTAAAATCTACTACTTCTCCCGTTACCGTTTTCATGTAAAATAAATGCAGGTACTAATGTGACGTGAAAGTAAACATTGCAAAGTACAAAATTAAGGTAGACTATGCTGGCATTTACAGGGGTATATGGGGACGTACATAGGGTGAAGATATTGTATAACAAAAAGGATAATGCTCTCATTCAAATGGCAGAACCGTTCCAAGCTCAACAAGGTAAGTCTGCTTCAATTTGTTTCCCTTAGTCTACAATATAAACCTAGAATCTTGCGAGGTTTATGTACTCCATGTGGTTTAATTAGATTTGCATGTAAACCTAACAGTTAAAGTTCTCTAATGTGATTTTCAATGTATAAACATTTATTTTAAACAAATCTTTCCTTTAAATAGTTGCGATGAATGGTGGAGGGGAGGGGGGAACTCTTGAAGTCATTTGAACTGTATAAAAAGTCACCGATATTTGATTAGATTACATGCCGCCAGTACACTATCATAGTGAGACAAAACCTAGTAATAGGTGGAGTCAAACAAACACAACCTATCAACCTTTATATTGTGGAACACTGACTATGGCATATTAAAAGAAATCATTGTATGAAATTCAGACCAGATTTTGTGATGGTTCAGATAAAACTACCATAAATATATTTTAAAAATAGGTTAATCAAATTCCTGTGATAAAGTGTTAAATTGTGGTGTGTGTATATTAAATATACCTACATTGATGTGTTCCTGTAAGTGTTAATGTGGAAAATAGGTCATGGTCAGGCATGGCCACACTATCGCTGATTACTGATGATCAATAGATTGTCAGGCAGTACCTATTGATTGTCTGGTCCTAGATATACATCAATTAGTATATGTGTTCTTGTTTATCAGCACTACAATATCTAGACAAATTCAAAGTATGGGGCAAACAGATCCGAGTAGCTGCCTCCAAACACAGTGTTGTGCAGATGCCAAGGGAGGGACAGCCGGTGAGTTGATTTCCCTTGAGAGCAGGTCTTATTACACTATACATGTATAAGAAAAAGTATTTAAAGATGATAGCTACAAACAGTTCATTGTAATTCAAAATTTGACAAATGTTGGCGATTTGGATCTACATCAATGAGAAAAGATCATATTTGTATTTACACAGCATAATCATGAGAAAGTATGTCTAGTGACCTTTTGTGGACATGTGAGTGTTTGCTAAACTGACCCAAATGAAAATTATCAAGATTGAATTTTATTGACTATTTTTTTTAGCTAATGAGATTGCTGGCATTTATTTTTTAAAATTATCGTATCATTTTCAGGATGCAGGTTTGACAAAAGACTTTACCAATTCTCCACTGCATAGATTCAAACGACCAGGATCCAAAAACTGTTTGAACATCTTTCCACCATCTGCTGTGCTTCATCTTTCTAACATTCCGTATGTATCAAATCCTCAGACATTGGTCATTCTTTTTAAGTATTTTTCCCAATTGTAGATAAAGTTCTATCAAACAATGCTACAGATTGATTTAAGTCAATCATAATTAAGACTTTTTGGATTTTTCCAAAGCATCCATTGAACCCGGTTCTATTGGAACGCAAATCACAGCCAAATTACCGAAATCAAGATTACTTGAGATTCATGTGATGGAAGAACATGATATTATGGAGGACATGACTTTGTTCTCGTGATGAAAATGGTGAGGAAATGTTTTTTTTCCCTTTATAGACCCAATGTCACAGAAGAAGAGATCACAGACAGATTCAAGGAGCAGGGTACAGTCGCAGCATTCAAATTTTTCCCGTAAGTATCATGTTAGAATAGCCATGTACATGTATGTCATGTAAAAGAATTTCTTGTATTGTTATAAAAACTTTTACTTAGAAGGCTTGTATGAAATACTTAACACGTCATTGCAATTGAAAATATATTAAATAGATTAAACATATTACTTAAGCTTGTTGGGTTTTGTTTTGTTTCATTAGTTCATTTTTAATTATAATTTTTGCATATTCTTACAACCACAGGAAAGATAGAAAAATGGCTCTCATTCAAATGGGTACTGTTGAGGAAGCTATTGAAGCACTCATAGTAAGTATAATTACTGTGATTTTATTGTTATTGTATTATCATTGCTATGCCAACAAACTTTTAAAATACTGTATCTTGTTAAAAGTCAAATTGATGGACATAATGCATTGGCTTATTGAGAGATTTTACCTTTTTAAACTTTCATAGCGAATCCTAAAGAATGAAGAGTTTTCCTGAACAAAGTCTAATTGAATGTTTTTTCTCTCTTTCAGAACTTGCACAATGTCCAGCTAAGTGAAAACAACCATCTGCGAGTGTCCTTCTCCAAGTCTACAATCTAAAATGCCCAGAGCTTGTGAACCAGATGTTAAATATTAAAATAATTTTTTTTTTCTGATTTATACATGACATTATAAAAAATAATATTTATGTCAAGCTGTCCCTGTTTAGAGTTATCTCCCATTGGAAAGTGTATTGGTAAAAAGTGCCTTTTTGTGTATTTTCAATATTTACAGAGTCATGAGAATCCTGGTTATTTTACACAGCGTGTTCAGGGCCAACATTCTGTATGTGCAATTATTTGGATTTTTTTTTTTTTTTTTTTGTGTTTAGAAAATTTAGTTGACATTTTTTTTTAATTAGAAATATCAATAGTTTTGAACATGTCTACTTGAGGCAAACAGAAAGATTCTTTGTAATCATTTGATTAGTGTTAGTTAGCTCTGGTAAATGGCATACAACATTTCCTTCGGTCTGTGGGATCATTGATGAAATAAGAATATACATGCTGAAAGTGACATATCATGTGGAAGGTATTTTTTGTTGGTTAAATATTGAACTGTTCACTTTACACATGATATTGTCCTAAGGGATTTGATTTGTATATTTTGGATCTGCCATTGTAGTCAAATGAGCAAGATTGTGTTTTCTGTTTTTTAAGAATTCCTACTTATCGCCCTTGTCCCTGCCTTTTTTATGTCAAAGGAGTGACAATAGATGGCAGCACTAGGATGAGGAAACTGACCGACATAAATTACCTACTGCACACACTTCGCCCATTTTACCATGGAAAACTGATAACTGCTGCTGCATATGTTGGGCATGATGGGTGAATCAATATTTGGGATAGAAATGTTGTTTATTGTTAATGACTTTGATAATCAAATAAATTGGTTTATTTTTTATTTTAGAATATTTTTTATCAAGATGAATGTTTCATTTGTTGTGTGTAATTACAGTTAAGACTGGAACACCTGGGTTTAAGTCCGAATTTCAGTTCCACTTGAACAGTTTGAAGTTATTTTTTGCACTTCTTTTCATCATCCATTTTGTTGGTAACTACTGGACTCTTAGCCAAGGAGGCCTTTATTGTATGTTTGTTTGAAGGATAACCTTTTGTGTTTTCTAAATATTATTGTTAGAAATCATTTGTCCCAGACATTTATATATAGTTGATATACTCCTAAGAAATCCATTATTAAAAATAGAACCATATATATATATATATGCTCACACACAAATATACATATATAGCATGGTTCTCTGATGTTTAGATCTCCTTGGCCAAGAAACTAAAGGTTTACATCTTATTCGTTTATTTTGACACGTGCAACATTTCTGCCCAATGCTTTGCAAAAGAAAACTCTGAACAGAGACGTCAATTATTTTCTTAGCTTTTGTATTGCTTGGTTCTGGTTAAGAAATAAATTCAAAATAAAATTGTTTAGCTGGTAGATTTGATGATGATTTCTAAGACTTACATGTGACCCTATTTTTGCATTGGGTATCATAATAATAAATACATTCAAAAGTTTAAATATATATTTTTGCATTTTTGAGAGTTATTCTACAGTCTGGGGATTTTCATTTTACATATATGTAAAGGGATAAGTGTGTTGAACCAACATTAAATGGTGTATATGTTGGTTTTTTTTGTTTTTTTTTTTCAATCAGTGCATTTTTTTCATTATTATAAGAATTTGTTTCATTCATCGTGTCACTGTGTTGGGAGTAACAATCTTGAGTTTCCTAGGCACTGTTTATAGTTAATAATCAGCATAAATTTTGTTAATACAAATACCATTCCAGTGTGGATTATTATGTTATCTTCACATCGGTACTTTATTTGTCCCAGCTATTTTGTCATGGCTATGCAGATGATTCTTTTTTCATACATCATAATCCGTCTATTTGTTTTGTGTGTGAGCTTTAATATTGAACTGTTGTTCCAAAGATTACGGAAAAAACAAAAAAAAAATGAAATTCCCAGTCCGACATAAAAAGGTACAACAGGAATAACAGAGAAATGGCTGGCAAAATTAGACTTGTCGAAATGGTGGGCTTTACACAATAAGTTGATGTACAGTTTTTAAACACACTTGATGTAAATAGAAAAGAATGTATTTTTGAAAAATGCAAGAGATCAAATTATAATTAAAGTAAAATGCAAATATTCTGAACAATGCAAGATTTTTCTCCTGGTGTATGTTTCTAACCTGTAGACTATGATGCTGAATGATAAAATTACCAATAAGATCACGTTTTGATATTACTGCCGTAAGCGTTAGTCCATGACAGCATTGTCAGTATTTGTGAGAAGCATCATCAGTACTGGTTTGGAAACAATGGCCCACTCTATAAGGGCTTATTCTGGACTAGCTGTGAATGTATTTGGGCAATAACTTAGCAGTTTAGTTCCATTATGTTCCTGTTGTTAAATGTTCCTAACTAGTATCCAGTATATTAGTAATGGTTTAAGGCTATAAATAGGTCACTTAGAACAAGTTCTACCCTCATGTATTTCTCATCCTAAACCAAGAATACTTGTTGTATTTTTTTTTTTTTTTTTTAAATATTGATGTTAGTGTTGTACAAAGTAAACTTAAACTGAAAGTATTGTATTTAATTGATTCTGGTAGTTTTAGTACAGCTGGGGTGACACAGCATCACTCTCAGAAATACAAATTGTGTGGTATCTTCGAGTGTTAATTGATGTTTGTATATTCTACATGCTGAAGTTACAGAAATATATTTCAGTAGTAATTGAATTCACAGTTGATGTTGCTGTACCAATATAAATCATTGTTGATATGTTGATGTAGTTGTACTGTTAAGTAATTACTTGTACCAGTAAACCCAAGCATGGAGGGTAGAACTTGTTACTGACCAGCCCACACAAACAGATCTGATGGAGAAGACCTCACCACGGTTTGATCTTGTAACCCTGCGTCCAGATGTCTGTACAACTGCAGTTATAATGTGCCTATTATTATACAAGGGAACAACTTTGAATCGTGTTACATATAAATCCACATTTTGTAGCTTTTTTAGCCACAAAACATGTTGATGTTTTATTTATTAATTTTTTACTGCAAACCTCTGCAATTTTTAGGGGTTCATCAGTGTTATTTATAGATGATGGTGATGATTGGAAAGAGTAAAGATTATGATGTCTACAGAATGTTTATCATGGAAGATTTATTATTATACTATTGAAGAAGAAAGGTTTATATAAAAAAAAAGATCTTGTATTGTGCGAATGTTGAGATATTACTATTAATTTTTTGTAATAAAATGTGAATCATGACTTAGTTGGAGAGTATTTACTTTAGTGCTATAAAAGTGTTATCATGCATGAAGGGGAGATTTCCCCCAATTGTAACAGTTAACCACACTTTTATCTTCCAACTTTTTCTTCTTTTTTTTTTTTCAATTACACAAACTCTTTATTGCTAACTCAATAAGCCTTTGATTTAAACTATGAAAAAATTTTCTGTTTTTTTCATCAAATTCATCAGCTGATGAAATATTTAGACAAGAAAACATTCCTTAAGGTAGAATTAACCTTTTGGACTTTATTTTAATATGATTATAAAATATTGTGAAAACAAATACATTTTGTCATTTTACACTGTTGCCTTACAGCCTATTTCTTAGGGTTACCCTTGTATATTAAGTAGAGTTAATTTTTTACTTGTTTGGTCAGCACAAACCACCTGCTTATTTCTCTGCTGTTTCTGTACTTAAGGACGTTGTGTATCTCTGATTTTGTACTGACAGTTTTCTACTGCTGTATCTCTGCCCATCAATCATCTACTACCCTATACATACATGCCTGTGCTAGAATCAACTTGATTTTGTTTTCTATTCTGTACTACTGTTTTTCATCCTGTAGTATATCATACATAATGGAATTCTATGTTTAGCTCAGTACTACACACTGTGGACTGAGACTCCGTCAAGCTTAGTACCAGCCCATGGACCAGACTCCATGGTTTTAACACTTGACTCAGTTTCACTGAGTAATATTTACTTACTATATACTTACTACACTGTACTCTATGTAACTGGACTGTGTTGTAGCCGTTTTCATTAATTTCAGTTTTTCTCCTAAGAATTGGGCGTTCATATATCTGATGTTAGTGTCTGTAGATAAGTATTTGTTAATTATGGTATAATTGTCACAGGTTCTACCCCTATCCTCTTCATCATTAAAAGTCCTATGTTATACGGTTATTGGCTTTTCATGAAGTGAATAGGGGTTTATGAACCATTAGCAAATGTTTGAAATCAGCATCAGACATCTTTTTGTTATTTGATGATTTTTGGGATTTTTTTTTTTTTTTTTTGCAAAATTGACCTGTTTTAAGTGGTCTTAAATATTAAATATTGATCAATAGAACTTGATGCTCAAAATACACTGGACTTTTGTTAGAGATGTAGCTAGCATTCTCTTTGTAATTAGTATTAAGATTTTTGTGTAGGATATATGGGCGCCCACCTATTCTCCTGTTACTAGAATTACAAGTATTTTCAGCCTCTATATCTGTATAGCTATCTGTTGGTTGTGTAACGTTGTACATACTCTTTGTGCATTAAATTTCTAGATGTGGGACTCTTTGACTTCTCTATTCTCTATACCTCACTCATCATAGCTTGTATTACTCATCACATCCCTGTATCTACTGTTACTCACCGCTATTTTATGGTAACCAAACATCCTCCAGCAAGAAAAATCATTCCAGAATATGGGATATGGAAATTGCATGCAAAATGCTTTGGTGGCAATACTTTAAGATAATTGACTTTTTATTATTTTATACTGTACAGTTCAACCTGCTTAATCTAGACACTTTGGTGTTTTGATAGGAAATTCACATTATCACGTCAATGTGTCGTGTATGTCCTTGTAAAAAGTCTAAAAGCTCAACACAAACCTCGACTTCAGTAGAGAATTGACTTATTGCTGGATAGTGAAACACTTATTAAAACTTTACTGAACAAATAGAAAATGGGTGATCTTATTGTCAAGGCATAAGTATCATAAACATAACGTGTGGGCATATTGTCACAGCAAAAGTGCGATATACATAAGGGGTGGACTTATTGTCACAGCAAAAGTGCGATATACATAAGGGGTGGACTTATTGTCACAGCAAAAGTGCGATATACATAAGGGGTGGACTTATTGTCATAGCATAAGTGCGATATACATAAGGGGTGGACCTATTGTCATAGCATAAGTGCGATATACATAAGGGGTGGACTTATTGTCATAGCATAAGTATGGTGTACATAGTGGTGGGCATATTGTCACAGCAAAAGTGCGATATACATAAGGGGTGGACTTATTGTCATAGCATAAGTGTTGTATACATAATGGATGGACTTATTGTCATAGCATAAGTATGGTGTACATAGTGGTGGGCATATTGTCACAGCAAAAGTGCGATATACATAACGGGTGGACTTATTGTCAGTATAAGTATTGTATACATAATGGGTGGACTTATTGTCATAGCATAAGTATGGTATACATAATGGGTGGACTTATTGTCATAATATAAGTATGGTATGCATATGATATACATAATGGTGGGCTTATTGTCACAGCATAAGTGCGGTTATCATAACGGTTGGGCTTATTGACCCAACATAAGTGCGGAAATCATAAAGGGTAGGCTTATTGTCATAACATAAGTGTGGGTATCATAACGGATGAGCTTATTATCACAGCATAAGTGAGGTAATTATAACGGATGGGATTATTGTCATAGCATTAGTGCGATATACATTCCAGAAATGAATGATGAGTAGAACAGAAATTCACATAATGTGTTATGAAAACGACATTACAATGAGGACGCCCCATAGTAAATAATTATAATGGTTAGAAGATTTCATCTTGAACCAAAACTTTATAGGTAGGCAATTTTTTTATTGATCCCTCCAGTAACACAAACACATGCATTCCTCCAGTCATTGTCAAACACCATTTTGACAGAAAACCCTTAAAAATTTCTACAGAAAATTGGAAGGTGGTACAGAACAACTTCTTTAGTACATAATTAGATCTTGTCTTTACAAAATATAATTCTGCATTCTAACTCTTTATCTGGCTAACTGTGTAAAAAAAATTCTGTGTGTCAGAAGTGGTTGAACAAGCACATTATTTACAGAAATTCAGAAACCTTTATTTTAACAAAAGTTAAATACATAATACCCATATATGAACCTAGAAAACGTCTCTGCCAAACAGATTGGTAATGACTTTTTCTGTAGAAATAAGCCATCCACCTTGTTTACTTGCATGACTTGTGTATGAAGAAACTTCAACACGAATGCTCGTATTGGATGACCGTTTATCATCAATAGCTTGACATTGGACTCGGACAAGACTGTCAAAGATGTGATATAGGGACATATATTATTGTACGTACTTGACAACAATCGGGAAAAATATTTCGGAATAGACTTGATAAGTTTGGCATACAACGTACGACACTGAGGGAAACGAAATATGTGATTTTCCTATTGCGTAGAAAGAAAACCCGGCTATTCTTAACAGCAGGAACCAGTCGAAGTAAATAAGATTATATTTATAGGAGAAGCTTTACGCTAATTTGGAGGAATGTGTTTATAAATTAGTAAACCGTAAATCCGAATAAAAACGGCAGACATGAACGAATGAACGGCCTTGCTCGTGCTAATGACGAGAGTGTGCCGGGCTATGATGACGGGAGTACACATGTACTGGTAGATTAGTTAAGTATTAGACATGTATGTGGTATACAGATGCTGCACCACGTTTCACAATTAGCACCAGTGTGTACATCTGTGAGTGGCATGCATACTTTCGGAGAAGTACACAAACCCAAGTTGTTCCTGTCACCCATCATCAGTTCCTACATTTCCTTACACCATCCACTGCTTCCATCTAACCCCTTAACTCTGTCACAATACATATAACTCGACCTCCTCTAACCAGCCTTGTTCAGCTACTTAAATCGTGCGGTTTACCACATAACATCACCAGATTGAAAATAATTGCATAAAATAGAAGAGAATGCCTTTTCACAAAAAGGGTTGTATATTTATAGACATGATGGAGCCTTTCTTTGTTATAAGGGCATTTTCTCTTATTTTATACAATCAATATGAAATTCATTTGTTGAAAATACTTATGTCGCTTGTAATTTGAAATATGGCACTTAACACGTCCAAATACCTCCCTCCTCATTATTGCAGGAGTGGCACTAAATTAACGCACTTTGAATACAATATTCTTAAAACATTTTGCATCCTTGCTACTCTAGGGGTTTCGATGACTTTCGCTCTCTGCACTCCTGGAACGTCATGGCAGAATTGAAGGCGGGATTCGGTTGATGAACATCGAAGGATCACACTAGTCGTTTCCACTTGTTTACAAGGTGTCGCACATGAAACCTTCAATTTTGCCACGACGTGTACCAGAGGTGTTAAGAGCGAAAGTGGTCGTAACCCCTGGTGTATCGAGGATGTTTTTTTTTATTTCAAAGTGTATACTTGGATATTTTGTTTTCGGAACCGAAGACATTTTTATTAGCCCACAATTTAGCACAAGCCAGACTTTGTCGGTCCTTAGACACTCGACATCCACCAAGACGAAACAAAGCATACATGTGATTATGATTGCCGTTCCTATTTTTTTATTAACCAACATTAACATGTACATAATGGCTGTCGTCAGTGGAGCCTTATTTTCCTTGTATTTTTTTCAAAGGTCTCGATAATTCTTTTGTTCACATTTTTCATTAATGTTTAATCTGCATTGCGGTTTCTTTCTCGTGGTGGTATTCTTTTCTTGTTTATGAAGTGTTGTCAACCTTCAAATTGTATGCCGGTGTAATGATGTACGAGTCCTGGAGGGTTGCACGTCAGCATTTCGGTCTTCTCTCTGAACGACTTTCTGTGACTGGACGAGGCTATCGATTTAGTCGTTAACACTATTTACAGTAACTGCTAGAGAGAAGCTGCTTAAACGCCTGATGCCATGACTCGCTCAAATTCTCAAAACAAGAATTGCTTAAATTATCTATTTCTTTACTTTTGATTAGTGTTTCGACATTTAAAATCGATTTTTGGATCTGATCTTAATCATGAACTATCTTTACATAAAACATTGCCTAAATACAAACATATGTGATGATTTGATGTATAATATCTTTTTCCGTGACTATCCTTTAATGTAGCCGTCACCCATGATTTTCAGAAGGACTTCGTCAATTTGTATGACCAGATATTCAGCATTAGTTGACTAAAGGTTGG